TCTCTCCTCATTTCCAAATTGCAGTGCACCTACGCACTGCAGCACCCAAACAAACTGCCATATACCTTTCAAGACTATTGAACTGCAAGTTCACCGATGTAACTTCCCCGCACATCATCAGAAAACATCATGCTCGAGATGCCAACGGCGATGCCATTTAAAAGCAACGGATCCCATCAACCATACTTTTGCACCGCCGCAGTAATTGTGATGGTGCCAATTTGTGTCAAAATGCCATCGCAGCTAGCGTTGCAAAGGTGTTGTTTTCTACAGCTGTCAATACTGCATCCTCGAGCAGGGTGCGCGCTGTGGCAGGAACAACGGCGCTGGAGGTCTCTCTTGGCGGCTGTCCCAGCAAGTACCATATTGGCTGCGACCAAAAAAGCAGTTCACATGCTGCTCGCATGTTTATCAAGCAATCGTATCCCTTCAATCCACGTTGCTTTACAAAAGGATGCAACAAACTGGAGGTATCCAGATACAAGACAACCCAAACAAGACCTCTGAGTAGTCGTGAATGCAATACCAATCCCAATCACAATACAAAATGCCTTCATATTGGTTAGGCCATTCATTTCTTAGGAGACAGCTTGCCATTCGAACCGTTAGGTGTGTTCATGACCTCCAATTCAATGAGAACTCTGGAATGCCAGTGCTGGGCACATGAGTGATCAGACGGCTTCGAATCTTCTGGGCCTCGTACTGCCCAAGCAGGGCAAACACCGCTCCAACGAGGGCCACCACAGCCATCCGGGGTTCAGCCGTTCTGCAGAAATATAGGTAACGTTATTGTCAGCTGAGTGTCGCAGTTTAAAAGAAGAAAAATTAGACATATGAATTGCAGAGTTCCCACAAATTTTCCTGCCACGGGTGAGCCATCAGTCAGCATTGAGTTTTCTTTTTTTAATAGCTGGGCACGAACTCAGTGCTCGACATCTGAAAGACGACGATGCACCATGATATCAAATGAATGGCCTGTCTCCATGCAAAACTTAAAAACATACCGTTCGATCAGCCGGGCCAGGCTTGACACTGATATCTGGAGTGCACTGTACATGCCTCCACTTAAGCTTCTAATATTTTGCAACATCGATGACTATTTGTGTTTGGAATCTAGCCCAAAACGCTAATCCAATTGGAAGATAACTACATGGATCCATCTCTAGGTATTTTTCTTACTCCTGGGAACTGCGGCAGTGCCAGGCAGCGGCTACAGCACGACAGGTTCAGCAGTGTAGGACAGTGGGTCGCATGTGCTTTTCCTTTCATCCGCATCGGTTCATGGCTTGCTTCTCGAAATCGCACTGACATCACTGGGAGATACATTGCCCCTTCCTCACAAGAAGAAGCATGGGAAACAAGACCTCAATTTGTATCTCACTCTAGTATGGATGAGCTAGCAGTTGTGAAAAACTCCGCAGTCACACAGCTTTGCCATGGTTACCAACAGTCTGTTGGTATCCAAGGTTTTTGTTAGGAAATATTTCCTCATTATACTTAACATGTTTACATCAAATAACAGCCAATTACGCAAGATGTAAAGCATTTAAACGCGTTCCAAACTTGCCTGAATGCTGCCAAAGCGGCGGCCACCCCCAGTAGACAAACTGCGACCTTGGGAAGGACGGATTCCAGGAAGCCAAGATTCCTCAGCGTCTTGCGACATGTTGGACAGTACTTGGTGTGCTGCTCCCACCTGTCAAATAGGTCAGAGTACTTTATCTTCTCAATGGCCTCTTTCTCTGTCTGCCCTCCATACCATTTTGGTCCTCCACCGGCAAAACGGGTCAGCCACTGGCGAAAGTTGACAACACCAACATCGGAGAGAGTGGGGAGATAGAACTGCTGCTGCCACGGTTTGTCGCTCCTGCAATGTCGTGCAAAACTTTTAGTAAAAAGTAGTAAAAATAAAAACTTTTAGTGCTTTGCAGCGTTTTATGAAACGGTGTAAAACTGCAAGGGCACTCATGCAGCAACTATGATGGCGAAGCATTCCTTCCACAAGAGATGATGGATGGAACATGAGAACAAAACGGACGGAGCGTTAACCTCAGAAAAGACATTCAAAGGTTTGGATCGGCCGACACACCTGTAAAAACTAGTAATAATAAATTCTGCATTTAGTGAACATTCGAATCTGCGTATTTAATGCGTAATTGGAGAGAAACCTGGAAATTCTATGCTTTTGATGAGCAGCTGGAACCAGTTGAGAGGGCCCACCCACCTAAATAGTTCAAGATCCTCACTGTGCAATGCCATCATGTCCTGCCGGTTGATGTAATTCTGTTGGTAGATGTGCATCAGAAATTTCGGGACGATGCTCGTCTGGATGATGCCAAAAATGAGCGGAATTATCTTCATTGCCGATACAACCTTCCGCAAAATGCTCGCCTTCGTCTCTGTCGACGCCTTTGGTGGCTCCATGGAGACGCCGACCAACGTACGAGTAAGGCCTGGGCGTAATGGTACCCAGAGAAGCTCAAAGCTCGCATCCATACCACCGGGCTCGAACTGTATGGAAGTCAGGGTTGGCGGCCTGAATTGCACGGTCTGAATGGCGGCATTGTCATCCTTCGAAGGGGCAGTGTAGTTAAGCTGGATGCCGCCCTTTGCAGAGGGGCGCCTTAAGGCCTTGAACATGTCGATTGGGCGATTTTGGCGTGGGCTGAATTTCGACCCAAAGATGGTGAGGCCCTCGTGCACGAAGTTTCCGTGGCTTGGATCTACAACATTCTCCACCGACGTAATGTACGACACAGGCAGATCCAACACGCCCCAGTTTGCCTTAGGGCCTTGAACTCTGCCAACAACAGGCTCTGCAGAAGAGGCTTCCTCCCAAGCGGAGGGGCCGTCATCAGGCCACACCCACAAAAGGCCATGCGCCTCGAGTGTGGGGAATGCCTGGACACTGGAACGAGAGCTGGCACAAGCAGTGGCCTCAGAGGCGGCGTCAACGGCCTGGGGAATCCGGGTGCACTCTCCCTTGCCATTGAAGCACCAGCCTGATAGAGGCACACAGAAGGTGAGGAAGATGAATGATAGGAGGACAAAGATTCGCTGGCGCACCAAAGGAAACATACCGTACAACGGGAAACAATTCTGAAAAAGATGTCGACAATACACTGTTCTGTATTGCAAGGAAGCACGCAGGCGCCTTACAGTGTCCGGTTGATAGTACGCTAAATTGTGCAGCATGCATAGCAACGCAGTGTGAAAAGAGTATTGGTGAGGGGACAGTGGTGGGAATGCGCTTTTGCTATATATTGATGATGTATTATTGTCAGTGACACATTTTATCACTGCAACTGAAACTGAAACTGATATTTCGCCTGCCGTGCGAAAACACGATTTCTCAAATAGCGAGACAAACCTGTGCACATACTAAATGTGTAAACAACAGGTGCCTCCCGCATTGCCTCAGTGGCAGTCCATATTGTGGCTGCATTGCCTTTGACGCAATGCCAAATAATTCTTCAGCAAATGCGCATTACCTGATTATCCTTTTGGAGACATGTCGCCCTTTTTGAGCACTTGATTGCACTTAGGGACACCAAAATACTCACCAGGCTTGTTGAGCGGACACACTTACTTACAATATTTTCTCACATTTGATGGGTGCAAATTTTTCGGTTCCAACACCAAGGTAGCTAGTACTGTGTCCCCATTTTGTTTACATTAGATTTCGAGCCCCACTCCGAATTTAAACTTTCGAGTGGCCTGTCTATCACCCACTCACAGAGATTCGATGTAGAATAATATACATGCTAATACACGTAATAGTATAAGTAATAAGATATGTAATTCGCTGTTCGTCTTTCTCTGTGCACCGCTTCACAGCGTGCAGGGAGCCATGCACACATGTTCGGATGTGAACGTATGCCCGTCATCGGCTGCATAAGCAAAGGGCCGTGCTTGTGGGTTCAGTGCAGCCCATTCTGAGGGATTCAGCTCCCCACCATGCTGGTCCGCAATCTCTGACCGTCTTTGGTGGTACTCAATCTTGCAACATCCCAACGCCCATGACATAAAATATCTAAGTTCGGAAACTGTAGAGCAATGTTCAAATGGCACTAAACTGCTGAGCCATGTATTGTCATCCAGGGCTCATTTTAGTCAGCGCGTTCCCCCATCCCTCGCGCGGATGAAAAAGCCCACCGTGGTAACGACACGCCAGGGTGCCGTCCTCCTGCACGCTCCCCAGCGACAGGGCCGCCAGCCTGTGCGAGCACCGGTCCTCCACGGCCCGCCACTTCCCCTCGGCGTCCTTCCACAGCACGATGTCCCGCCCCAGGATGGCCTGCCTCTGGATCTGCGGCAGCCCGCTGTCGAACCCCTGCCCCTGGCTCTCCTCTAGCAGATCCAACGGAATGATTGGATACCAATTCTGGGTCCATTGGAACGTCTCATCTTGCGAGGCGGCTTCATCCTCCTCTCCGGGCTTCGCGGCAGATGGGGCAGTCAGGGATTCGACGGCCGACCGCAGCACGGTTCTCGGCACCGTCACGCGCGGCGAAAAAGCGCGACCGAGGCCGCGCGGAACATCGCCCAAAGTAACGCGCGCCGGAGGCGCAGGGAGAGGGGCGCCGGCGAGGGGCGTCGGCGGACACCGGCCCATGGGTCGGTGGCGAAAGGCTCCCGCGCAGACCATGGCGGAGAGGGGTGGGTGGTGTGGGGCGTTGGCAGGGTGTGATATGACCGCAAATTTGGTGGTGCCTGTGTGTCTGGCGATTGGGGGCGACGAGCCACGGGCGACCACACATTTCGTGGGTACTTGTGACACTGGCGGCTAGCGCGCCAATGAACCACGTGGCTGCGGCGGCGTCCGATACGCCCGATGCATATCGCATGTGGTGCGCACAACTGCCGATCCACGACAACCATTCACAGCCTCGACCAAATATAAATTTGTCTTCCCACTGGCAGTGCGATAACATTTTTCCCCCCTTGACAGCAGGCTTGGTGAGTGTGCCTGCGTTTACGGTTTCACATGCGAAAATGTATTCTGCAGCTATTTATACGTTTTCATGGCTCGTTGGGACATCCAGGTCACACAACGAAAGTCGCGTACAATGATCAGCCCTCCACCATCTCCAGCACCTGCAACACAATCCACCTCGCCCCCGGCAAGGGCAACGATGGCATAGAATGCAAGTTCGTTTTCTACCCATTCCGGCATGTCTGACTGCCCCTTCCTGGACTGCCCAAGTCTGTATGTACTGTCCTTATGTACACGGGGCTGTATTTACGTTGTATTTGCGTATTTTTCCCGGTTTTACCTGTTAAAGCGTAGGAACTATTTTTACGCGTAAGACGTAAATACGATTTGTGTTTATGGCAGAAAAGCAAAGCCTGCTTGCGACCCTACTACCCCAGTGCTGATCAGGGCCGTCGACAGCCTCGAAGGCTTGCCCTTGAAGTGGCCCTCATAAGCAAACGAAACGCATCCAAACAAAATAAATTTGGACGTGTCGCCAATTGTAAATGCGCCCACAATGTTTTAACGACAGTCAACGCCAATGAACGTGGGCAATAAAAGCTCGACGAAGCCGCGACAGCCCACTAAAACAACACGGCACATTCGGGTGGCTCAACATGGGGGTGCCTGCCTCCGTGTCCACATCACGCTGCTGCTGCACCCCTGGGCCCTGCTGCCGCAGCACTATTTTTTCTCACCCGATCCACGGACAACAGCCCTTATTCAACTACAGTGAATAGGCGTGCCGCCGCGCGCACTGTTTTGGGGGCCGAATATCACATCTCGGCTTGGCTGTGGGGAAGTGCGCTTTTGAAGGGTGCCTGGTTCAACGGTGATAGCCCCCGACATGGCACGGGGCGAATTAGCCTCAGCCGCGGCCCATCGCGACCCAGATCTCGTAGCTGCACCAGGGCCAGCGGTTTGGGTTGGACGCGTCCAGCAGACTACGCTGATGGCGGCATACCGTGACAGGTGCACAGAATTATGCATGCAGCGACGAGCTGCGAGGGGTGGTGTAATAAAGTGTATGACAGCGGCCAGGGCGCGCGAGCTGACTACCGACAACCGTACTGTCAGTATGGGGCAGGCGTCAAGATCAACATACCGGTCATGCAGGGGAAGAAGGAAAGGGAGCCATTGGCTTGAGTGAGCGCGGAGGGTGGCTGCATGGCATCTGGTCAAGCTGGACCAAATTTTCTGAGAAACTGCATGGAATTGCCAATCTTGTTGGGGCTGAAGGTTGAAAGCTTGAACATTCCGTATTCTGAACATGGTGAACTTCCACACCGTGTCCAGGTAATGTCCTGGAAGTGTACTGCGCTCTCTCGCAGTGCGGTAACAAATCTTGTATCCCCTAAGCCAAAGCTGTGTCCATCAGTCCCTGCTCCTTAAGGCACGCAGGCAGCTTCGGAGGAAGTTGCAGCAAGTGCATAATCTCGAGCATCACCTGAGCTGGGGTGCCTTCGCAGCGTTGGAGATTCTTCGGGCTCGTTCATCATGAAATGGCGGCATTCCTAGGACACAAATGCACCACCAAAGCAAAAACAACTTGTGAGCTGATGTATCCCCCTTGTTCAAGCCTGTAATACTTGCCATCCATACTCAGTCCAGACCGCAGCGGCACAGGAAGAGGCCATGAAGAAAGCAGGAAGCGATGATAAAAACCGATGTGAACAGAACATATTCATGCCTAGTGCGCTCCTTTCAGCAGCTTTATGACCTCCAATGGCCCGCTCCGTGCTGAAATATCAGCAGCTCAGTGTACTGGTCTTCCTGCTGGCCATTCGCAAACCTCCATGCCCTCCTCACCCATTGAAAGGATAGTTGAAATATCCAATAATGCTACCAGGAGACCGACATCCTGGCAGCCCTGTTGCACTGATGATCAGAGTCGGCGAACTCCGCATGGAAAAAGCAGAACGCCGAAGAGAGCTACCAACCAAGAGCTGGGCAGCACGAGAAACACGGTGATTGCCACTTTGTCGCCTTCAGATGCATGGCTGTCGCTGAACATACCCCTTCCCAGGAATATAAAACCAGTGCAAGCCAAGCTGCTGAACGCCATGTAATTCAGGAGTTCGCACAGCATGTTCAACGGACCAAACATGGAATGCGGAGAGAGAGCCGCTGAGATCCTGGCCAGAACACGTGTCGACTGCAAACTGCGCCCCAGGGGATATGCTCAAACTACTGACCCCGCCATGAGAGCTTTTCTGAGCATCACTACGACATCCCTATAAAAGTATTTTCTCGAACCAGTGTGGCAAAATAAAGGGAACATGGCAAACCTTGGACTTTCGAGGTGGCAAAAGTAAGGAATGGGAGTCTGAATGCTAATAGAATGATCCCCGGAAGCGCAACAGCTAGAGCCAGCGGTCCGTGATCGCCCTGACAGCACTCATGGGCCGTATCTTTGCCTCAGAACCTCCCTTTGAGTTGGCGTACTCGTGGTAGAACTGGCTCTAATCACGGGTGTCGACGTCAGTGCAATGCGCAATCCTCAGAACGGTCTCCACAATGTAGAGGTATGCCAATGTCGAAAAGTACAGTGAGGGTGAGCGATGTGTTTCAGAAACTCTGGAACGCTGGAAGCCACCAGGGCATGCGATGCGATCCCCAGTCACTAGTAAAAAACAGGCCAGATGACACAGTCCCGACACGGTTTGCTCAGAATCCAACCGTGTACTTTCGGCAAATGTGGTCCCAAAAGTACACATTTAGTACACACATTGACACAGTTTTAATCGTGCATCCTAGGAAACCGTGTAGTATACACAGTTGTGTGAGGGTACACGGTTGAAACTGTGTCAATGTGTGTACTAAATGTGTACTTTTGGGACCACATTTGCCGAAAGTACACGGTTGGATTCTGAGCAAACCGTGTCGGGACTGTGCCATCTGGCCTGTTTTTTCCTAGTGAGTCTCCATAGTGGCGTCGCGTCAACAAGCTGGTCACATGGAAGGTGGAAAAATCGTCCAAGGGAAGGAGCCCAAAGGAAGCCATCAGCTCGAGGGATCGCAGAGGGTAGCCGCAAGAATATTGCTGAGGGTCGCGAAACTTGCCCGGCAACAGCGCAGAATTGCCAAATAGTGCTGCAACTTGAAAACTTTAGAAAATTCCGTGTCGTGAACATCGGGAATGTCCAGCTTGCGTATGGGATGGGGATGGACGTATGCTGCATTTTCTTACAACACAGACGCAAGTCTTGTATTACCTGTGCCAAAACGGGGTCAATAGTCCCCACCAAAGCGCGAGGGCAAGCTCATGGTCGAGTTCCGGAAAAGCACAACAGCTCGAGTATCACCTTAGCCTGTGCTCCCTGGTAACCGTTCGACAATCATTGGACTGGCACATCAATAGTCACAGATCTTCAATGTACAAAATATGCGAACAAATTACAGACATTGTATGTGTCAACTTATCAACCTTGTTCAATCTTGTCACACTTACCACCCATGCTTAATCCACAGACACCAACACAGAAAAAGCCTTGATGACTGCAATAAACCCAAAAAATCATGTGTGTAGAGCACGCTCATCCCACGGATCCATTTGTTCAGCCGTTTCCTCAGCGGTCCTCTCCATCCGAAAGTTCAGCATCTCAGTGTACTGTTCTCCTTTCTGGCCAGTTGCTAGCCTCCACGCCCTCCTCGCCCATCCAGAGAGTTGCTGCAGCATACCATTTGCGCCACTGGGGAACAGAAGCCCACCAGCGGCCCGACGACATTGCTGCACTGCTGACCGAAGCTGACGGACGCCATATGGGAACAGCAGAAGGCCAAACCACGCGACAAGCGAAGAGTTGAGAAGGACGAGGAGAATGGTGATTCCCACTTTGCCGCCTTCAGATGCATGGCTGTCGGTGAACATCCCCCCTGCCAAGAATGTAAATCCAGTGCAAGCCAAGCTGCCAAACTCCAGGTAATTCAGAACTTCGCATTGCTCATCAAACGGCCAGAGCCTGGAGTGTGCTGTAAGAGCCACGGAGATGATGGTCAGGACACAGGTCGACTGCAAATTGCGGCCCAGGGGATATGCCCATACGACTGCCCCCGCAATGAGAGCTTTTCTGAGCATGACTACGACATCCCAATAAAAGCACTTCCTCGAATAGGTGCGATAGACGAAGGCAAACATGGAAGAAAACTTCGGATTCTCCAGGTTTGAGCGATTGAAGTACAGGGCGGCCAGAATGAGAAATGGCAGTCCAAATGCAAAAAGAATGATTCCCGGAAGTGCAGCAGCAAGAACCAGCAATCTGTGGCCACCCTGAAAGCACTCATAGGCCGTGTCCTGCCCCCAGAATCTTCCAACTGCCGTGGAGTATTCATGGTATGCCTGGCTTTGATCCTTGATGTCCACGTCAATGCAGTACACAATTCTCAGAAGGGCCTCCACAATGTCGAGGTATGCCAGTGTAGAAAGGCACAGCAGAGAAGTCACACAACGTCGAAGCAGATACTCTGACCTCTCGCTTCTTTTCTTGGGGAAGGATTTCATCGTCCAGTACATAGAAATGATGATCCCCATGGCCACCGGCAGAATCAATGCGGCAAGTACTCGCCATATCGACTTCTCCTTTCCCAGGCGATGTGTCAGGATACAATCCAGGGAGACGAGTGTGGAGAAACGAGCCACCATTGCTTCCAGATGCAGGAGACCGGACGCCACT